GAAAATTTATTGAAATATTTTAATATTATTATACCTTTGGGAACATCAAGGCATGACCTTTCTGAGAAGAGATAACAAGAACTTCTACTTCATCACTAATTTTACCATCATTAGATAACTTGAATCTGTACGGAATACATCTGCAAATTCCCCACCAAAAAAAACATAAATCCCATTTTCAGAAACTCAACAATTTTTTTTGTTGTTAGTAAAATTTTGTGAGCTCAGATCTAAAGATGAACATACCCGACGACTTGACGACGACCTTTGTTGTATCTCTGAAACTGACGACCAGTACGAGAAACCAAACACACCATTTTCTCAACACCCATTTTTAGTCTTGATCTTGATGAACCTAGATTTTTCCCAGGTAAAGAAGAAGAACAAAGTCTGATATATTATACAAAAAAGCAAAGATTTTCACCGTTATTTTCGAAAACAACTATAACGGATCAGAATCTGTCCAAGTAAAGAAGAACCCAAGAATCTAAAATCTGTTTAGAAATCGAAAGTTTTAGTTTTTTTTTTTCTGCTTGAAGTGTTTATGATTCGATTTTTCTGTTGTGCCTGAAAAGATTTGAGAGAGAATGGAGAAGAGACAAAAAAAGCGTTGTTTCAACCTCCAATGGCTTATCATCTTCCTTTATATAAAAAAAAAACGGCCACTTTCTTCAATTTAAAATAATATAAAAATAATTGGTGAATAATTCTTAATTTCTTTTCTTGGAATTTTCTTTATTGGCTGATATAATAATTAGCTAATTAAGCTAATGTTATTTTTGGGGGTAAATTACATGTTAATAAAAGGAACCATTACATATCAAAAAGTCTAAATTTATCTAATTTTCTTAAATATAAATCAAGCTTTATCCTCTCTCTATCATATCCATTTTTAGTTAATTTGATAATATTGTTGACAAATGTTATCAAGATATCAATTATCCCATGTATTTAAAAAACATTTGTTACATCATTATTTGGTAAACGGATTTAATTATCTTTTTATAATTATACAAACTCTAGATTAAAAAAAAATCTATTACTTTGCATAATAAGAAATTTAGTTTACAAGTTTCATATGATTTTTTTTTATCTTCAAGTTTCATATGATTATGCTTTAAATTTTCTGCGTATATATTACATGTTTCATATGAAAAACAATTCCACAAATTTATTAATTTCAGTACATGTAGTTAGGGTAGGCCCAAACAACAAGTGTAGATTTTTAATATGGACAAACGAACAAAAATTTTGGATTATCAAAATAAAATAAAAAACTCTTTGTATTGCAAGTGTGGAAGCAATTTTTGTATATAACTTGACGACATATTTGCGTGCATCAACACACTTTAACAATAAAAATGTACAAATAACGCTTGGGGTTTAGCAAACCATCGTTTTGCTAGTTGTAGCCAAATATCTTTTTTTTTTCAAACGTAATTTTCTTTGATTATTGTAAATTTTGTAATATGATGGTCACGGTTAGAAATTATAGTAGCATGGATTTCAACATTACACGTCCGGTATGGAAAAGGACTAAAATGTGTAAAAATTGGTGGGTCAACAAGATTAAGAAGTAATAGAATCAATTAAGGCATAAGCCAATAATTCAAACGTAATTAATAATTGGAATTGTCCCTGTCAATGTGTATAAGGGGTTTCTCTGTCGTTTCGTGGTCTAGGCTTGTAGGTTTAATTAGTTGGTTAATAACAAGAGACATTATAATTAAGGTTAAATAATTAACCACGTAAAATTAAAATCAAATCAAGTATTGTAACTAAAACGTAGTAGTAAAACATACGCGGCACGTTTATGTTGACTATTGAAGAGACATGGTCACGCGCGTTCGACGACGCCTTTCATAGGCTCGATCAAGTGCGTGTTTAAATCGCGGTTAGTCGACGCGTCTGCGTTTGATGTATGTTTCCTTAGGCTCGATCAAGTGTGTGTTTGAATCGCGGTTAGTCGACGCGTCTGCGTTTGATGTATGTTCGATGTATCTGCGTTTTTATTATTTTGTTACCTGAGTGATGCAGTCTCGTTACGTATGTATGCGTATATATATACTAGGGATTGTCCACGCGTTGCGTGTGGCTTAAAAATTAACATTAATAATTTCTACTTATTAATTATTTTTATATATTGATATTATATAAATTCGATATTTATAGTAAATAATTATGTAAGTTATAAGACTAAACATTTGTATCAAATTCTTGGACATATACAATGTTATATGACTTTAAAAGTTATGAAAGCATTTAAAAACGTTTAAGTTCTAAATTTTTCCAATTAGACTTGTTGGATTAACATGCCTAAAAGTCTTAAAATCATTCTTTAATTAATTTTCTCACATCATTTTTTTTGTTCATGTTATGCTTCTTTATATTAAAGTTATTCTTTTGTGATTTTCTTAAATTTTAAAATTGCAATAACCTATATAAAAGACAAAAAAAAGTTACATGTTTACATAAAAATTATATTAGAATTTACATAATAATTACATAAATCTACAACAAATACTTAATTGTAACTTGTTATAATTAATTTAAATAAGAGTTAGCTATTTAATTGTTATAATTAATTGCTAAAGTTATTAAAATACACTCAATTTTTCTTTTGTTTTTAATAAATAGTTTAAGAAGACAAATGTCAAAGAATTAGATGACATATGGCAACCTCTCATCTTTTAAATTTTGATAAATCTTACTATATTATATAAGCTTGCATATAGTTTGATTGTTTTTATCCAATATTAAACTGCTAATGTATAATGCGTGGGTTGGACCGGTTTTCTTATATACGTATATAACCCTAAAAAAATGGCATGGGTCGAATATTATTATTTTAAACTTTTGTTTTGTTGCGATAGTCCTATCCTATGCGTGGAGTAGACAAGTTGACACAAAAGATTACTACCAAATAATGGCTTATTTTTAGCTCACTTCAACTTTAAAGGTAAACTTCATAGGCATTGTCTACGAAAAATGTAAATTAAATGGTTATAAACTGATGTTTTTATCCTATTACTCAAAGTTTTTGAATCGCTAATTCTTAATGAACTTTTGAATGTAATATTCACGTGACAATTACTTGTTTTGGGGTTGGTGTGAGTACTAAATTACAAAGGAAGATATATGTTTAATTCAGTATTGATAAACAATATATGTATATATATACTATTACTACTCTCTATTGGCTCATAATTTTCTAAGTCCATTTTTAATTAGGTAATAGGAAAATACCAAAAGAAAACAATCTTGAGGATTGAGATGAGTAGGTAGTCACGTAGACATATGAGCTAAATGCACCATAGGTTCAATGAATTTTGCTCAATAAATTTTATTATTATTAGTTAGACTTATAAAAAATGTGAATATTTCCTGCAAATGTGTGGTACATGGATATAATTTCTTTCATTTAATCCTTCAAGCCCACCGCTTTAGAAAACTTCCTCTCTAAACCTAAAAGAAAGGATTTCATAGTCTACATCGTAGTTCTTGTGTTCTAATCAAAAGAATGTCGCTTTTATAATGTTCAATAAAGTTTCACTAATGTTAATAAACATTATTCTTTTACTTTAAACGATTTCTATTATTTTAAAAGTACGAAGCAATTATTCTACATTCATGTTATAGCCTAGATGATTTACAATATTGTATCTTTTGTTACACTACAAAAGACAAGTTATAGGGAGACACACTCCAAAAACCAGTATTCAAACATTGCTTGAGAGAATTATTTTCCCGAATAAAGAGATGTATGAATTTTGATCTAAAATTTCTTGGTTTAATTGATCATAACAAAAGCAAAAAAAAAAATGTATAGAGTTCCACTTGGTGATACAGCTAAAAGCGTAAATAGTAATACTATTCAAAATTTTCAAGCCACGAGAATATTCTTGTGCCAATCCAAAACCCACGCCGATTTTTTCCTGATTAAATGTGTGACCTACAAAATATGAAACATAGTTAAATTCAAAGCTACTTCTGTGTATACAAATTTTGG